GATGCATTGAAGAATTTAGACGGACCACCGTTATAGGACTGCGAAACTGTCGAAGAGATGCACATGCATATCCAGCTCCTCCATTTCGTCCAAAAGCCAGTCGTTCAAGCATGTAATCAATAAAGTTCCAAGAAATGTGGTCAAAAGCCTTTTCTATGTCTAGCTTACAGAGTATACCTTGACCTTTCTTCCTATAGACCTCGTCCACAATTTCGTTGGCCATAAGGATAGCGTCTGTGATTTGTCTCCCATGGACAAAAGCTTGCTGAGAATCCCCGATGATGAAGTGTAACACTTTAGATAAGCAGTTGAATAGAATTTTTGATAATATTTTATAGATACTGCCTATAAGGCTTGTTGGTTTAAAGTCTTTGATTTGCTTAGCATCTTTCTGTTTAGGGATAACGACAAGAAATGTAGAGTTGATTGATTTCATGAAGGAGGAATTTTTGTGAAAGTCATTGGAGAACTCTAAGAAATCCTGCTTCACCACATCCCAATATTCCTGAAAAAACTTGAGGTTGAAACCATCAGGTCCCGGGGCCTTGTCCCCATTGCAAGCACGCTGGCCAAAATTTCCCCTTCATTGAAATCAGCTTCCAAATCTAGAATAGCGTGGTCGTCGATTTTGGCAAATTCTAGCTTGTTCAATTTAGGTCTTGCACGATATTCCTCAGAATACAGATCAAGGAAATAGTCTTTGGCAGCTTCTCTCATGGAGGTGTTCCCCTCGAATCTTTTGTTGTCAACAAGGAGTTCTTCCACATAGTTATTTCTTCTCCTGTGATTAGCCAAACAGTTGAAATATGTTATGTTTCTAGTACTATCCTTAAGCCATTTCTCTTGGGATTTTTACTTCCAAGAGATAGCTTCCATATTCAATTTGTTGGCAAAATTTAGTTTCAGAAGTGTTCTCTTCTCTCTGTCAGCATTAGTGAGACCTAAAGTCCCTTCAACGTTGTCCGTAATTTCAATTTCTGACATAATGCTTCTGATTTCCAGTTCTTCTGTCCTGCCGGCAGTGATAGCCCATTTTTTGATCTCTTCCTTCAGATATTTGAGCTTACTGACAAGTTTGAAACTGGTAGTGCCTTTGAAATTCATAGAAGACCAAGTCGATTCGACCAAGGCTC